ACCTTTTTAAACATAATAGTTTTGATAACTCTTTTCCAATAACTGATTTATTTTATCTTTGCCATGATAACAGTAAATAATATTTGACTAGATATATTTAAGAAACTTCCATACAGCTTACAGTGACATTTAAAGGCTTAACTAGGTTAATTAGGTTAACTTGGCAGGTTAGGGTAATTAGGCAAGTTATTGTAGAATAAAGGTTTGTTCTGTAGACTATTGAAAAAAAATATATATAGCTTAAAGGGGCTAATAATTTTGACCTTAAAATGGCATTAAAAAAATAAAAAACTGCTTTTATTCTTGCTGAAATAAAACAAATAAGACTTTCTCCAGAAAAAAAAAAAACAATTATGTCAGACATACTGCGAAGATTCCTTGCTCTGTTAAACATCATTTGGGAAATATTTAAAAAAGAAAAGAATACTCAAAGGGGGGTTATTAATTCTGACCTTAACTGTATTTTTAATACGACATAATACAGTACTTGCATACTGGTTGTATTGTGTCTGGAGTACAGTTTGTACCATCTTATAAAGCAAAGTGTTAAATACTGGAGCATTCTCATTTTTCTCTTTTATAACAGATGCGACATGTCTCTCCAGTAAAACAAGCTTTACTGATGGATGCATCATAAATGTAAGAAACATCTTCGTTGCAATGTACTATACAGGTTTTTTTTTAATCCACAGTGCTCTAAATTACACTGATACTAGCTTTTTACTGTATTTGTAATTTCAGTTTAAGTGAAATCAACTGAAGCACATCTGTCAGAAGTTGCAGCATTTTAATTAGAGATTTCTGTATAAATTATACTACTAAATCATACCATAACATTTGTGTCTTTTAGATGGATATGTTAACCTAATGTTAACCATGGCATTGACAAATATGAGATGACTCCTGCTGTTTCAAATTGTTTTCTTTTAATAAACATTCACTGAAAAAAACAACTCAGGCTCATTCTGAAAATGTTGTCCCGTAGATGTTTCTGGAGACCACGAATAAGATACGTATAACTGCATTTCATTTTTAAGCAAATGCTATGGGGTTGTGTGACACCGTTCCATTTCGTTTTACCGGCTGACCACTTCAAAGTTATAAGCGATAATATAAAGTGGGACCAAAATGGTTTCTTCTGTGTTTCTCATCCAAATTTCGCCAAACTTTTTCAATAATTGGCAGGAAGACGTCTGCCGACACTGTGGTGAAAACCTCGGAAGTGTGCCATGGTTAACCCTGATAACAAAATAACTTAAAACAAATAACTTAAAAACTCTGTTACATTTTGTACAATGCGCTACTTTGCGTTGCTTCCATGTCCATCAAATACATCATGCACAGAGAGATTTTGCAGTTCATAATGTTTCTTTCGGAAGTACGTTTTAGTAGGATGCAGGACACAAAAAAAAGCGAATAGCTGTGTTTGTTTACCCGAATAAGGGATGATTTACCGCTGTACAGAAAGCACTCAGGGCCTTGCTGGATGTTGTGTAACACATACAAATGGCCATGTCAAACACTCATTAATTTGATGTGGAAGAGAGGCCTTCACCAAGCAGAATAAAAGCCACCTGGCTCATTTTGTGTTAAAAAAGAAAAATGCTAATGCGGCGGATGCTCGGCTTTACCCGTTGGTTTCATTTATGTTTTGTGTAAATGGTTATTTATTCCATCGCAACGAGGATACGTTTTCATTGTGCATGTTAAACTCGAAGTGAGCGAAAGTCAGTTACTTGAAGGCGATAAACACAATGGATGTCTAAGTCGGTGAGAGTCTGGTTTGTTATGTGACGCTTCGCAGGCTTCCATTAAGACAATGGAACGCAGTGTTTTAGCAGGGAACAAAGCCTCTGCCATTTATCAGGAGATGTGTTTAGGTGGAGCGGAAGAGAGTTCAACGGAGACCGCAGCAGAGTTAAGACTTATTTGACAGGGTGACGTGCATTTGACTAATGAAATGAACCGTGAGTTGTACGCCAGCTGTGCTCAGTTGGTGATGCTTGCGAGAGTAATGTGTTTTTCAGCTGGAATTGGGCCTATCCTATTGTGAAGAATACATTACAGCTCATGACACCCGTGGGATGCTGGAGTGTTTAGCTGAGACACAGCTGCCTGGTGTTTGTACACTTGAAGAAAACACAAAAACAAAGCACCTTTGAGACGCAGATTTTTTTTTTTTAAAGAAACAACTTTTATTTCAACTGTGTTGGCAACATACCAATGTTCTTTTTTCCCCCTTTTTAGGTTTTTATAAATGAATGTCTTATCTTGACCACCATACCTTTAATAAAAATAAACATTATTAGAGGTGACTAACAACAACTATGGTAACATGTGCCTTATTTGATCAAAATATATATGGTTGCATTTTTATACATTATGAGACACAAATGCTTGAGAACTCAGAGTCAGATGTGAGAGAACTGAATGCACAGTATTACACATAGTCTTGTAGAAAGAGCTGACATGAGAGAACGCCTTTCACATTTATGAAATGAAAAATGAGACAATTCATGCAAAGAAATAAAAAAAAGTTCCGGTCGCCTTTTCCATCAGTGAATTTAAAAAAGTGACTGACTTTCATTCATTCATTTATTTTCTTTTTGGCTTAATCCCTTTATTAATCTGGGGTTGCCACAGCGGAATGAACCATCAACTTATCCAGCATATGTTTTACGCAGCTGATGCCCTTCCAGCTGCAACCCATCTTTGAGAAACCCAATTAACCTGTACCGCATGTCTTTGGACTGTGGGGGAAACCGGAGCACCCAGAAGAAATCACAAAAAACACCAGCAAATTAAGAAATGATCTTCGTCAGTTTGACAGCACACATGCTGCTAATTCTCACAACACAAACAACTGAAGAAACGTGCTGCATTTGGTCACAACACAGATATGGATGTGTTATTATGCAATGACAGTTGCTCAGTGTAGTTGTTGGTGGTCTTGGAAATATGCTGTGCGATTTGGGGAAAATATCTAATTGCAAATTTTTTTGAAAGACATTGCGATTTCAATTTGATTTGCGATTCATTTTTTTTATGTCAAGCTTCAGCTCAATATTCTGTATCATAGCTTCTTACTGCTAAAAAAGTAAATGAAAATATATTAATTTATGGTCAAACTTTATTTTGATGATCCGTTTGTTAAATTTAAGGTACATTCCATCTACATGCCAACTAATTCTCATTAGATTATAATTAGACCAACAGGTTGGGGTTAGGGTTGGTGTAAGTTGACTTGCAAAGTTTCTTATAGTCAGTTAGATGTCTGTTGAAGGACTGTTAAATGTCAGTTTCAACAGATATTAAGCAGACAGTCTACTAATACTCAAATGGACCATCTAAATAAAATTACCTAACTTACTTAAACATTTATTCAAATTTATTTTTAAATATTCAAAAATGAAACACTCATTTTTCTCTAGAGCAAACAGCAAACAAATAAAATGAACTTAACTTTCTGTAAACAAGTTGAACTCAGATTAGGGGGATAGTGTAGCTTATTATAAAAACAAACAAATAAAAATAATTTAAGAAATACAGAACACTCAGCAAACTAACATGGCTGAATCAACTCGGAAATTGTGCTGTTGCTAGATTGAGTGTCACTGGCAATACTTTTAGTTGACTTTTTAGCAAGATGCTCTTCATATAACCGCCTGTGGTTTTTTAGGTGCTGGTTGTTGTATTCTCTTGTGCTCTGGCAACAATTCTGCAACAGCTCTTACAAAAAAACTTGTTTTTGTGAAAAATAAAATATTCTCATATCACAGATGTCAAGTTTTTCCTTGATATGAATTCATCTATTATTGCTTCTGAAGCGGCAGACGACATCATCCCATTTGTCCGCATTTTGCTGTTTTTCTGTTTGTTATTGTGGGTGTACCGCATAGTTTGGTTGCTCAATTCTGATTGGGCAGAACGAAAGTGTGCTCACATAATTGACTAGTTAGACTATCACACACAGACGACAGTCACGTATTTGCTATGGGCGGGAGAAATTAAATAATACATGAATAATTCATATCGCAGCCTCTTATGATTGGCTAATTGCAACATTTCAAATTGCAATTGCAATTAAATTTTGATTAATCACACAGCCCTACTTTGGAATGTGACTTTTTTTGGTTTATTTTAAAATCCTTATTACATGATTCCGTTGCCTTAAATTATTAGCCTAATTGATGATTAACTGAAACATTGCATTATTAAAGTTGTTTGTGTTGTGACCAAATGCAGCGCGTTTCTTCAGTTGTTTGTGTTGTCACCAAATGAAGCGCGTTTCTTCAGTTGTTTGTGTTGTGAGAATTTGCAACGTGTGCTGTCATGAACTGATGAAGATCGTTTCTTAATTTGCTGGTGTTTTTATAATTATGTGTGTTTTCTTAAATTGCAGCGTGTTAAGCTCTCTCGGCCACCGTATAAGTTTGTATCTCACAATTCAGACTTTATAACTCACAATTCAAAACTGCACATTCATATCTCACAAATATGACTTCATAATACGCTATTGTAATTCTGAAAATCTTGCAATTTGTGAAAAAATAAATCAATATTTGTGACATACACAAATGCAGTTGTCTTTTTTTTAATTCAGTGGCAGAAACAAGCTTGCATAAAAAAAAATAAAATAAAAAAAACATAAATTGCAAACTGTCAAGATTAAATTTCAGGTACAAAAATGTAAATTAATTTAGTACTGAAATCAAATAAAAATCATAATAAAAACAAAACAAAACCATAATAAATTAAGAGAGCCATGCATTCAGCAAGGCAAACACTAATATTTGGAAACTGGATGCAGCGTTTATGGATGTCAGTCATGTGTATGACACAGTTGTGAAGCTCTAATTCACATAGACTCCTTTTTTTTTTTTTTTTTTTGTCATGCTTCTTTTAGAATCCATTTTTACATCCGGATCTGAGACAGTCTTCTAAACAAGTCCCAGAACAGAACATGACCCTCCATTTAATATTCTGATTTTTTTTTTTCTCCAAAGTCGAAACCCATCCCTGTTTCTGTGATGTGCCATAATGGTAGATATATTTATATATATTTATATATATAAGTAGTTATATTTTCCCTTTGTCGTTTGGTACATAAAGTGAATTAATTGCGAGTTGTTTGGCTGTGGTCTCTTAGTAGGCAAACAGGAAGGGGAGGAGCTTATACAGGATCAGTAGAGTGATGTAAAGAAGAGGCTCAGTGGACGCCATTGTTCCAGAACCTGCCAATGAGAAACAGAGAGACAGAAACATTTGTTAGATCATCATTACAAAGAAAACTAATAACGTCAGTTATTTATGAAGTTTGTTCCTCGCCACTGTCGCCACAGGCTTGCTTGGTTGGGACTTGTGGAGCTGCACATAAATGGATTTGATCTTCAGTGTTTGGACTTTCAGCAGTGAAAATTAAATCATACTGAACTTAACTTCGACTCTAAAAACTGGACTGACACACTTTCAATTTACTAGAACTTACTAACTATGTTAAGCTGCTTTAACACAATCGACATTGTGAAAGAGCTATAGAAATAAACATGAATTAAATAGAATATTTTGAACATTCATTTCTCAAGAACATTGTCATTAGTTTGAGATACAGATAATCTTTACTGCTTTTAGTCTAAGGGCATTTATTGCATCAAAACCTGATTCAGCATGTGGGCCATATTTCGTATCATTAAAGTCCTTCAAATGGCTCTTTTATAACGACTGCTCAGCAGTTTTGTTCTTATCGCCTCATTCCTCCACGGAAGTTGACAATCTCACTTTACAAGAGCAAATTGCAGTCGGCTGTGCTGAAGATGTTGGAAAAAGAGTGCACAGTAGGGATGCAGCATATCTCAAAATAAAACTGATATGGTGACATGAGTTAGAGTGATTATCTAATCACCCAGGCTGCGGTTTAATTCAACCTATTATGCAGCTCTCTGGAATACTTGATTCTGATTGGTTGGCCGTGACATTTTAGAGAAGTGTTAATTCCTGATAACTGTCATAGCAACTCCAGATAACATGCATTTCATGCTGGAATTACAGACTCAATGTCTCTTGTTTCTTATAGACACATTTGCTGTCACCTCGGTCTATTATAATCATTGATTATCTTGGAAATGCATTAATAGTAATGTAATTATGCTGCTGTGTTCATCTACTTGCTAGTGTAATTGTTTTGCACACTGTAATGGATTGTAAGACAACAAACAGGAATTGAAAAGAGTTTAATCTCAAATCAATATCTCTTGTCCCCATAATTATTTACAGTATGTGGTGAAATGTTGTGTAATAAGGGATATGATGGTACAGTATCTCTTTAATATTTGTTTAGTATAAAAGTCTCCTTAAGTGCCTTGAAATGGGCTGCTTTTTCAATGTGTTTGACATCATTTCAACTCTAACATGATAACAGATGGGGTACTGTATATTGTTTAGCTCCTCCTCCTTTAAAAAAAAAAAGAAATAGCATTTTGTTTATGTCACAACTCGAGCCATTGAGCTAAAGCACATCAGATTCATGTCAGCCACAGTTTATAATAGCAATTGCTGAGTCTGTCTAACGATTTCTCCACTTTAAAATACAGCATTGATGTATAATTCAAATGGGCAGATACATTTTGTGGTCTGCGTGACTCATGCATATGATCCTCTCAGCGCTTTTGAGTCCCTACGGACCAGAGCAGACTGGATGTGTGGTGCGGCAGTTTGCACGACATTAATGCAAAAGCAGACTTTATCCACCAAACTGAAAACCACAATCATATCGAAAATAGTAATTTTGTGTAATTTTCACTGGGAATGGGATAACCTTGTTTAAATCATGTGTGTGTAAATAAATCCCACCCACTTTGTTCTATTTATTTGTAATATATATATATATATATATATATATATATATATATATATATATATATATATATTTTTTTTTTTTTTTTTTTTTTTTTTAATTTACGCCATCTTCACCTTGGACAAACTCGAATCGTTGAACCAGAATGCAACCCTAAATGTTGCATGTAACAGTAGACAGATTCTGCTACAGTGAAGTGTACATTGGTGCCCTGACCCGGATGGGAGTGGGGTTTGCTATGCAGGTAAACCTCACTCCTCTGACCTCTAAAAGGTGCTCTTGTGACAAACACTCGAGGCCATGGTCTTTAGGCTCCTTATTAGAGCAACCAAATTCTATGCAAAGAATCATCGGTTCAATCCCAGCTCGGAGTGGGTTGGGTGGTCTAGGACTGGTGCATTACATTGGTGCCGTGACCCATATGGGAGTGGGGTTTAGGGGAGTGTAGGCATTACGATAACCATTTTAAAGGTATACCACGGTTTACAAAAGTCAAAGTTTTAAAACCACCAAGATTGTTTAATCTACCTTTTTTTTTTTTTTTTTTAGATTAGATTTGTCTCTTTATTATTCAATCAAAAATATTTAGTTTTAATGAAAAGTTAAGTATGTAGTAATTAAAAAAAAAAACTTTAATTAAAAAACTTATGTCAATGATAATAAAATATTTTGAATTGCAAAAAATAAACTATTGTCCTATTATGCATCTACCACAATTTTCATTGCTCACTCATACATTTTGCTCTCTGTTCTGCTGTAATTTATTCCACATCTAGAATCTTTGCTTGCGGGTTGAAATGTTTTGCTTGCAGGTTAAAGAAACATATCAAACTCCATGGTAGAAAAAATATCCAAAGATGCCATTTTGAATGGTAAGAAAATCTGTGTTTTTGAAACTAATGAAGACAGCAGAAGTCATAGATTCATTTGAATAATTTGGCCTGATATGTTTACTGCTTCGAAATATTATAAATGTTTCAAAAAATAAAATATATGGTTTTCAAGGGGGTAAAAAGTTTTTGTTTTTTATCCAGACATTTTAAAAGAATATATTTTAGAGTAGTGATCACAACACTGTGATTTCATGAAACTGTAATCTTTTTTTCCAAGGTTATCATACGGGCAGAATCTTACATCGGCCCATGCCTAAGTGAGTGTAACTGAAGCCAGCTAGGGAAGTGCTATGCTGGTAAAACCTTACTCCTCTGACCCCTAAAAGTGCTCTAACTACAAATATTTTCAATCACAACAACTTAAATAAATACAATAAAACAAACTGAATAATAAATTTAAAACATTCTTTACTCAAATCTCTGATCAAATTTATTTATTTATTTTATTTTTTTTTAAACAAAATGCTGTTAATGACAATATTATCTGGCCTTTAAATAACTAAATAAATATGAACTTTTTACTCAGAAACATACCCCATAAAATTGTTATAAAAATACTATTATAAATCCTAAATGAATTCAATTTTAAACTATGGGTTTTTTCAATCATGTGGTTCTGGTGACGCACAAAAATCTGAATGGGGGACATGGAGAAATGTCTGTATTTTTGTGATTTATACCATATTTCAAAGGAAATAGAAACATATGTTTGGCATGATCCTTACATCATTAAGAGATAATAAAAGTAATAAATTATTCTCTAAGCTTCAATTATTATATACCCTCACAATGCACCAGAGTTTACACTAATGTTACAGTATTTATTATAGTCTTTCAGTTTACTATGCTACAGTATTCAGCATCTTTCATTAACAAAGTGTAGTACACATTACACATTGCACTCTCTGGTTCAAAAACATGTTTATTATAAATTGCTATAGTTTTTCCCCATGTGGATATCTACTAGACATCACGGAATAACAGACAAGCAACAAGCATACAAAAGCGTCAACACATAGTCAACATTATTATTTATTAATTTTTGTAAGGGGGAAAAAGTGTTCCACAATAATAACTCTCTCTACTTGTGTTGCGAAGGCTGCATTTAATTTTCTTTCTGTCGATGATCTTACCATCAACAAACATTCAACACTGCTGTGAATATAGACATTAAAGTTACTTGTTCCACCAAAACACCAGTAAAGACTTGGATTATTGCAAAACAAGACAGATAATTCATTGCAGCGATTACACGGCAGGGTGTGTTATTTGTATTCTCCTGGATTTTGTATAAGTGTGATAGTGTTTGTATCTGATTTTTATAAAACACATTAACATATTTATACACATAGCTAGACCTGTATAAAATCTTTATTGTTGCTGTCAAATGAAGTATCGTCTTCAAAAAAAGTTTGTACAAATGGATGCATTGAATAAATGTCATGTATTACATGACGTCGCTTTTTCTTACATTTCTTTAGCCAATTTCTTGAGTTTTCATCCCTTCATAAGCAAAAATTTTTAGAATTCTATAAAATATGCTAGACATTTCTTATTTTGGCCAAATAAACAATAATAAACAACACAAAACAGAAACATTGTGATGTTCTGATAGCGATTCCTGTGTAGAAGAATAATTTTCTGAGTCTTTTGCATCATCAATGACGTCATACGAAAACAATCTATAGTTTTCAAATATTGTGCATCAGTAGTAGGCTACACAGAGTAAAATGGGAAGAAAAGTTCTATTGGTCCTCCATGTAACCTACTTGCTCCTCTGTGGAAACTACATGTCATTTCCTTCAATGACTGACAGCAAAACAGCAGCCTGTGGGCCTTTTGAGCTCCAGCCAACAACAGCACAACAGAACACAGAAACAGATTGTGACATGAACACACCAACACAAACACACAACAAGCACAACCGCCAGAAGGAGGCATTTAGATCACACATCTCTCCAATATAAAGATGTACGCACATTCTCACACGACATAAACACGCTAGTAATGATTCATTGCTTAATGGGGCTGCTGACTTTTAGAGTGTGAAACCACCGTCTGTTTTCTGCAGTTCTGATTTTTCCTATGGCCATTTCTCACAACGCTCTTTTACTCTTACCCTCCCATCATCCCCAAGCAGATTAGCATGGTGTGCCGTGCAGCCTCGTGACCTGAACGCCGCGGTATGCTAACACGCTAGCACGACATCACAGACTGGAGAAGCATGTCTTACAGTGGGCTCCTGGAGCGTGTCCATATGTCTTATGAAGCTACATTTATTTTGCCTCCTCTCTTCTGTTATCATCTTTGCAGAGGGAAGAGGATGGTATTGTACTCCTGCATGGTTTGTTGAGTCGGTCTGGTTCAATTTCATGCTCTTTCTGAAAAGTCAAACATTACGGAAGGGCTTACTTTTGATTTGACACAAAGAATCACTCAGTTTTCGTCTTTATTATTATTATTTTTTTAGTATTTCTGAATAGCTGAG